ATGAGTAACGTAAAGAATCTATTATTATTTTTAAAACTGGTAGCAAAAGCATATCGTCAAAATCAATTTCCAAATTGTTTCTACAACTATGCGTAGCGGCTTATTTGCTTCTCCGCCCCGGTGGAGAAATTGCATCCCGTCAAATTGGCGATCTAATCCACGCGATCGTTGATTGCATCATACTACGTTGTGATGTGATTGATGTATTCATCATAGAGCAATGTCGCACTGACCGGATCTCTTGGCAATGCATCGGTTGTAAAACGTTTTGCCATTGCACGAGAATTCTTTCTTTTTTTTCAAAGCACACTTGGTGAGGACTTTACATTCTTTGGCCACGTCCCATCCTTCGGCCTTGGCTAAACACGAATTCGTGAAGGCATTCTGTTCTATAACCTTGCCGTTTTCCCGCCTCTTGCATTTCATTGGGGCGTACTCTTCGCATTTTGGTGAAAATGGAAACTCCTTCTTTTCGCCCTCCTTATCGAAAACGTTGTTGTCCGAACCGCAGGCCGATAAAAGGTTGCGAGCGGTTTCCATTGCGGACGAGTAGAGATTGAGTGCAAACTGACTGCTGATAAACTCACCCTCTCTGTTGGTAGTGCCGCTCGAAATGGAGATGGAATTGGCACTTCCACGAAGGGAAGAAAGCTTTGAAACTGATGATGATGCCACGGTAGACGTGTATGCACTTGTAATTAGTAAAATTATCAAAAAGAACGAAGCCTTGGAAGTCGAGAGGAAGATTCTAGAGTTCATCRTTGTTTCAATTCTTGTTTTCGCGTTTGTTCTGTGCTTTTTGAGAATGTCGAATTTTATTTTATGAGGARACACATATTCATTCTTTTGTCAAAAAGAGAGAAAAAAAAAAACATCGTTGGGTCTTCGAAAATACATTACCAACACTATCAACGTGAAGCTGCCAAAAGTTTGATGGGAACCGATTCTCCCGGGTCTGTCTCAAAATTGTGACCCGCACATATTTAATGCGTTCGAACAGGAACACGTCGAGCACAATAATCGATCCTTGATTAATTGTTATCATGATATATATTGCTTTGTCAATTTCATTGGAAATTTCAAGGCCATTAAAAATTAAATGCGATGATAAACAATAAACATGTCGATATACAACTTCTTATACAGTAATTATCGGCCTATTCTCACTCTGCATACATTATTCTGATAGTACGCAAGTTTTTTTATCAAAATGTCGATTTATGATACCTAGGCACACTAATTTTCAATTATCAATCAAGTCCATATTGCGAACCGATAAGAACTGAAAGCCGACAATAATACAGTTGGATGATAGACATGCCCCAAGGGTTCTCTTTCGGCATTTATGACAAGTCAGAATGATAGTGAAAGAATAGTAGAGGTCCTTGCTTAGAACTTTAAATATATCGCTCCTTCTCGAAATGCGAATTATCCCGCTTATGCAAAGAGAACCTTGTGTTGATTTAAGATGCCTTTCAGTGGCCATTATCTTTTTCTTGCGTTAAATATCTGAATAGTATTCGGATGACCACTTTTGACTAATTCTATCAGGAATATGTAATATATATCATTATTAATGAGTCTGATTCCAGGATCGCATCGATTCAGACGTGATTAAATATTTTCAATGTTTTTCAATGTTCGAGTGGGTTGATAGATTTGTCATGACTTTTTCCATGAATGAAATCGATGGGATTTTCCTTTTTGGGTCTAATATTCAATATCGGAGAACCATTAATTAATTGAAACCATTGGGACACCGCAGGTTTTGAATTGTTTCGATTGTATTCCACCGAAGGTTTATCAAAGATGGAATACATTCGTTCGGCGGTTCGAAATCCGTCAGTTCTAGACAGTTGTTCCTCTTCATCGAACGGGTTGCATAAATAAGAACCAAGGCTTCCAAACGCCAGAACAACGAAATCCATGCCTCTGTTTGACTTTTTCTGCGTGCAATGTAGCAACCAGACTGTTCACAACAGTACAAAAATGTGATATTTTTACGATGGTACCGCAGGATTCTGTGAATCCTATGCTCATGATTACCATAAACATTCCTGAACGACTATTTCGAAGCTCTTGATTCGTTGCGATAGCAGACGATAGAAATATGCGTTCAAATGCTAATCCTGAGTTTGTCATTACCAACATCTCAAGTTGAACTGGTTTGGTACGAAGAAAGCAGCTCGAATTGCTGTTGATTCTTGTCTCCTCGTGAACTATAATATGATTGAGGAGCCGTTTAAATTTCTCATAATATCGAATGTAAAATAATTATATAATTCGATCAAGTTATAAGCTACGCAGTAGAGCTGCGCAAAATACCCGGAACTGCCGAGTCAAACTCTATTCGTACCGTCCGGTCATTAGCTTGGTAAAATCAACTACAATTTGTGAGCATGAGGCGGTCAAATGATCCTTCCGCGGAGAGTGTGTGCGTTCCTCTCATGTATCATGACGAAATGTTGCTACCTTGGCACCAATTCCCTGTCGTCCGTTTCTGGATCTTCATAACATAGTATACCGTGCTGAAGTTGCCGTTCAAATGATGCGTTCTTAGGGTAAAGTTCCTTGTCTCGCAATTCCGGCTGTTTGTATTGGTTCATTGAAAGAAATTTCATATGCATTTGACCATCCATCTTGTTCTTGCGATCTACTTCCGCACAAACACATCCTGGCAAAAAATTGGTCACAGCAAAATGCATTTGACGAATGTAAATGTTGAAAAGAATCGTAACGAGCAGGAGTGGAATCATCAAGGACGACGCCAAGGGAGCGGTTTTCAACGCAAGAAAACCCACGATGGTTAGTTCTCCTATGATCAACGAGGTAGGAACTATTTGCATAAACTGGATCCACAGCTTGCCACCGCTGTCCGGCAATGTAGGGTAGATGAAAATAAACTGATGGCGATAACTAGCACCCATGAACACGAAACAAACAAAGGTGAATATCGATGTGATGGGTGCCAGTGTCGCGTACACAAAAAAAACGACGAAGTAGAAGACAATTCCTGATAAAACAGAGGCGTGTTGAAATTCCATAGGATCAGCAAAGGGCCGTAATCCCATCCATGTAGTTCGTCTTTCGTCCTCGGTCAATTTTGGACCCACCAAGGATCGGACAAATGCAACACCAACCGGCGATATGCGCAAGAGTTCCATGCTTAGATCAACGGAAGTTTGAACCAGCATGATCTGGATGAAAAATGAAGATCGATTGGGGAGCGAGTTTGCGAGCTTTATTCATGCGTTGCAAGTCAGACACATAAGAGTAACAAAGTCAGACGAAGAGATGAAGTGATGGCAGAGAGGAATTCATATTTGAGTTACTCTCAATCATACAATTGGCAAACAACTCACCAACTCTATGATAGCCGAGGGATTTTGGACAATCGCCGAAAGCTCGGCGATCAAACTCCCCGAAATCGCATTGACGAAAAACGTTTGTATGATCATAAAGGCACTTAGTTTGCTGAAGAGAGATGCCTGAATCAATGCGTTTGACACGTGTCCTTCCAATCCAGACAGAGCTTCCAGAATTACTCTCAGCAACGAGTTCGCCAACACGATCATGAGCGGCGAGATCTGTGCCAAGAGCGTGTATAGCCATGCATGCGTTTGCAGTAACTCTTCGAGCTCAGGTATCAGTCCCGTCAAGCCTTCCACCGAGGATAAAGTGGAAATGAATGTAATGACAATGGTCCAGAAGAGACAGAGGGTAGACGTGAGGAGTATGCTCAGGAGCAATCCCATCTGCAATTCTTTGTGTTCCTTGCCCACGTTCTTCCACAGGATATCGTCGCAACCGGGGGCTTCGATGACTTCCATTCCAAAGACGTCTCTTGAATGCATCATCTGTTTTGCTGCCTGACAGGCCATGAGGCTCGAAAATGTCACAAATGCTGCCGTCGTCGGAGCCCCGTCATCATTCCTGTTGCTTACCAAAGCGGCCGCTCGTTCCATTTGCGTACCAATGACCTGTATTCCGAGATTCGCGGCTTTGCCAACGTGTGAGATCCCAGCATTGGCAACCTTTCCTACCTGATCAATAATCATTAGAGGACTCTTGGTCGCGTATCCATTCCTGTTGCTCTCATTTTCACTGTCATTCATGTTCCTATTCAAATTGTAGTCCTCCAAACTGTCCATGGTCAGGTCTGCGTTATTCTCAGCAACGGTGATATCCTCTTGAAATAGATGGTCTGTGTCTTCAATGGTGTGTGGAACCGTCATAAATTCTGCGGCAACCACACTTGCTGGCTTGCCTTGCAACGATGTCGAGTGCTCCACTGACTTGCTATCAAAAAACGCGTCGGGTGGCTTTCTCCGTTTCGGACCATTCCTTCTCATATCAATCACGCCGTTGTGGTATGTACAGGTATTGTTGCCATATTCGAAGTCGTAGTCTCCATGGTCGCTCCCCTCCACCAAGACTGGGTTTTGGTAGTCCTCAGCATGGTAATCGTCCAATGGATTGTCCAACTTGGAACGCCGGTCGATGGTTTCAATCATAGTCGTAATCTCTTTGTTGAGTTCTTTAAGCTCTCCAAAGAGATAATCTACTACGGTGATCTCGAGCCCAGACGCAGCGTCGATGGTTTTGGGTACTTTATTCAAAATATCTTCGACATTGATGGCGTGCTCGAGTTTCTGTAAAACACACACTCGCTTCGCAACCATTTTACTTAATTTAGGGATTTTCAATGCCACCCGCGCCTTCATAGCATTCTTCGAAAGATACTGCTGTGTTGTCTTGGAATAGCCAGGATACAAAGCAGTACCCTCGGTACCAAGGCTAAAATCATCATATCTGTGATAACCAGAACGAATCACTTCGAAATTCGAAAAGTATTCCTCCAGAGCCTTAGAGGTCCAATACTCTTCCGACAAATTCCGCACGTAAACTGTATAGTTGCGAGGGATCGGTCGGCTCAAGAACTCATAGCGGAATGTGTAAAACCACTCAAATTCATGCAGTATTGAATACATTGTGTACCCAAAAATCAAATAGGCGGCCAAGACGGTTGCCAGAAACCGACCGCGTCCCTCAGCGCCGTCCGGCACGTTTGAGGTATTGAGTTCCTCAACGCCGCCTTTCATACTATAATCTCCATCCGCAGTGGCGTATACAGGCATCAATAGGATGCAACCCACAAGGCTCCCAAACAAAGTAAGACGGGCTCCCCATTCCAGCACGCGGCTCAGACAGAGGGCATCCATTCCGCAATCGTCGCTTAGCTCCGTATCCGCCACAAACCAAACCTTCCACAACCACGAGAAACGTCCCATTGCATCGGGATTTTGGGCCCGTGGATTGGGCTCGATCACATCTTGAGAAATCCAACCGCTCCGCAAGTTATAAGCCTTGGGATATGCCTTGCGGAGGAGGCAAAAGAGGAAGAGGCAAACCAAAAAGAAGTTTCCATATAACATTAGGGTTTGGGTCAGGATTTCTCCGTCTGTCAAGCCTTGGGGGTTCCAGTCTTCGTCCCCTCCACCGGTGGTRTTCTTTGCGGCTCCTCTTGCTATGTCCMGTAAGGTTGTGGTGCGATTCTCGTTGTTTTTGCCGCCACCACCAAGAGTGCTTGTAGTTCCATTGACTTTCTCAATAGACGCAATGGTTCGGTTGGTGTCGTTGTTCAGAAAACGAGAATATGAAAGGGACGGTGACGAAAAATCATCGGATGGTA